TGATAAAATATTTTATTATTAAGAAAATAATACTGTTTGCAGAGTTTTGAATTCTTTTCGACACCACCCAATGTGCCTTAAAAAGTGGAGTTAACACCTTCTCAAATTAAAGAATTAAGAACTGTGGATTCAGCTCTTCTTGATTTATCGTCTACTCCTAATGTGGAACCAGTTGAGATTGTTTCGACAGAGACTGACACAGGACAAGCACAATCCGAAAATATTATCATTGAAGATAACTATGAAAAAAATCCTCACTACGTAGTAAGTTTAGCACTTTTTCAAAAACAATTATTCGTTAAATCATTTATTATAAGACAGAAATAAAAGAAATTTATTTTTAGCGATTATCAAAATTAATTGGAAGTGGCGAAATACTGAAATTAGTTTATCACGCCTATAATCAACAAGGAGGTTATTTAACCGAAAAAAGTAGAAAAATTTTAGTTCACAACTTTATTGATTTGAAAAAGAAGGCACTTTTAAAAGAATTTAATGGAACGCCACTAGATGATTGGAAGTAAGCTTTAATATTATAAAAAAACTAATAATGAGTAAAATAACTGAAACTACTTCTTTTATTCTGTCAAATAACTTAAATTTATTTAATTATTTATTTTATTTGGTTTTAGCATTGATGAGTCCATTTTCAATAATTTTGCTGCCACAATAGAAACAGTGTTCCCAAGTGAGAATGCTGCGACGTATTATTCTCCTTTCAAAATCGAAAACGGAGTCAGATTACCCTGTACGGGTAAAGTAAAATACCATTTTGATTATATAAAAGGGGAATTAAGAAAACAGAATATTATTAAGCCATATGATAAAAAAGCGCAGAAAAAACTTTCAGCAGAAGTTAGAACGTGTAGTTTTGAAGGTAATATATTTAATCTTTTTATATAAAAAAATAATTTTTTCCTCTCGAAAGTTATAAAAAATATTTATATTTTTTTCAGAATCAATTGAAAATAAAATCAAATAACTTGAAACCCACTCAGACGAAGTCGATGTAATTAAGCAATATTGGTTTGACTTTAAAAGAAAAACGAGAGTCGTATATGTTAGTCATACCGGTAAATATATTATACTTATTTATACTTATACTAATATTCGACAACTTCTCTTGCGATTAAAATGACAAATTCGTTTTATAGATTGCTAACGAAGAAGACGCAATGTTAGACAGATTAAAGCTGATTTTGTTATCAAAAAAATTAACGTTGCAGCCAATAATGGTGATTGTTGGATCGTTAATTAACGTTCAAAAGATATACGTCGTTATTGACGACACATATTATATATGTAACTCCGTTTTGGAAGCTGTGTCTATTACGTTTAAGGCTTTTTTTTCGTTACACTGTGCTTACCCTGTTGAAGCATACAATGTTTGGCATTTTATGCAACGAGCTGTTTTTGGAATTAAACTAGTCGGAGAAAAAGTCAGTCTTAAAATAAGGTCTCTCAAAAAACAAATAGAAAGTGTTCTTGCTGAACTTAAAACGACGTGATGACTGTCTCATTTAGAGAATTTTTTTAAAATTGTGTTTTTCAGAAAAGCCTTTACGTTTAATGTTTTGTCTGTGCTAAATCGACTGAAGTATGAGGTCTTAAATTTTGTTCTTCGTGACCTTAGAGCTACATAATTTGTCTTTTTAAAAAAAAAGTTTTGAATCGTTTGGAAAAGCTTTTACTTTCGAAGCATTTTCTCCATGCACTGTGCTTATTCGACTGACGTGTTCAATATTAGCATAATAATGTTGCATAATAGTATAATAATATATACGTTAGCATAGAAAATACATTTTTTTAATTTAGAAAGACACGATTTATATCTTTTTAAAAAAAACGTTTTAAAAAAGCCTTTGCGTTTAAGGTTTTCTTTTCGTTGTTCTGCGCTTATCCAATCAAAGTATATGTTGTTAACATAGTAGAAAATATATTGTACGTAAATTTAGAGCGACATGATTTGAGTCTCTTTAAGAGGATTGTTTTCAATCGTTTAAGCAAGCCTTTACATTTAATGCTTTCCTTTCGCTGTCTCAATAATAAATTATTTTCATTTTAAAATGTTTATGTGCTTTGCGTGCGACTGCTCATTTTCGGATAATGAGACTCTGGTACTACATGTAGAATTAGCGCATATGTTTTCCGATACGTTTCAATGCACAGAAGCTGATTGTCAAAAGAAGTATGCAATTTTTTCGTCATATAAAAAACATCGAATTTTGAAACACAGTATTAAATTGCTTCCTGAATTGGATAAAAAGAACGTTTCTACTTCAGATTTCAGTTTTTCTCTTTCTTGTGAATCAGAAACAGCAGAGGAAGAGCTATATATTGATAGTTCCGATAGTTCTGTAAATGAATCTGAATTTGATGAAAATCAAATTGATGAATACTTGCTCTTCGATATCTCAGACAAATACGAAAATGACTTTAAAACAAAAACAACATTGTTTGCCGCTAAACTATATAAATTAACGAGTGTATCCAGAAAATATGTTAACGACATTATTAATGATGTGTCAGACCTATTCGAGTGTTTTCAATGAGTTGGCAAATTTTAATCCTCCGGAAAATTTGTCTGTAGATCCTCTACATGATATTCCAGACGGCATATTAAGGTACGATGTAGCTCTGGTCTTGAATCATTTCATATATAAAAAAAAATATTTCACACTCGACGATTTAAATCTCCGACTTGCAGGTTTCAATTACGGAGATAATTTAAAAACAAACAAACCTATGCCTCTTTCGGAGAAAAAAATCAAAAGCGGATATCTAACTATGTCAGCTGCTGAAATGATGAATTAATTTCGAAGTCTATTTCTCCTCATCGGACCATTCGTTCCTAAAGAAGACTCTCATTGGCAATTGCTAACTAAATTGAAAGTAATAGTAGAAATCATCTTCAGCAAAGTCATCAGTTCTGACACTCATAAGTGGCTAGAGATAGAAGTAACCGAATATTTAATCCAACTAACAACATTGCATCCTGGTTACTTAAAACCTAAACACCATTTTTTAATTCATTACGCGCGAGTAATGGAAGCAGTTGGCCCTCTTGCACCCTTGAGCACGATTCGTTTTGAAGGAAAACATAGAGAGGGGAAAGTAACATCTCATGTTTCTATTTGCAGAAAAAACGTCTGTCGAACTATAGCTGTTAAAAGTCAGCTTATGCTAAATTACCGATTTATGAACAAAAATGATACTCAGGCACCATTTGAGAACGGTCATGTTCAAGTCAAATCGATAAATAAATAATTATATTCTATTTATTATATACTGCAAAATATCGACATCTGTTATAATACTCCTCTAATTACGAAAAATAATATAAGCGACTGTTTTAAATAAATTTTTAAAACTTGTTTGTAATTTATAAATTAAAAAAGTAAATTAAAACAAGAAACATTTTGTTTTCACTGTTTTTCCTGATAATTACTTAACCAATTTATTATTTAACTCTTTTGATGAGCTATAAACATTAGTTTATTTATAATATTTTTATTAGTTTTTAGGCATTCTAATTTAATGAATAATAAGATTATTTTTAAAGTTTGAATGTCTTTTAAACTAATTTAACAAAAGACTTTAATTATATATGTAATATTATATGTACAATAATTTGTTCGTTTTATAAAATTATTTTCTTGTAGTAAAAATATGTATTTTTTTAATAATCGGACAATCTATTTTTACGAAAATATTTTCTTTAAAATATCCTCCTTTTAAAGAAAATATTCTACTTTGCACATAGATAAATAATCCAAAATTGATTTAACGTAATTTACTTTAAAAAAAAGTTAAAATTATTGTAAGTTAATTATTTTAATATAGCATCATCTTTTTAAAAAGAAATTATAATAGGTTTAAATAAACAAATATATTATGGCGGAAAGATTCATCAAAGTTTTTGTCAAGAAAATATAACCTCAAAATGAATTTGACGTATTATTCATTAGATAGAACAGGTATATAACGCGTACTGTAAACACATACAAACTGTTTTAAAAAGATTTTTTCTTTTAAAGAAATTCACGAACAATTTTAATTCACTAATATCTTGTAAAGCTAAAAGACTAATTTGAATACATATTCTTATTACACAACCATTATAGTGCTGTTCTGCCTGACTGACATTTTTGGATATGACAACACAAGCTTAGGTAGCCGCGTGCGTTAAAAGTATTCCGTAGATCGGTTAGGTAGTTCGTATAAAAATGATAGGCAGGTTTCGAATCCTCACAGCGTCAAGAATTAATTACCCAAGAAGCACGTAATATATCCTTAATATCAAGGTAATATTACACGTGAGATTCGTAATATAACGCTGTAATATTACAGTAATCTTACAGTGATCTTAAAATGTCCGCCTCAAGGTAATATTACCGGGAATATTACTGTAATATTAACGGTAAGATTACTGTAATATTACAACGTTATATTACGAATCTTACATGTAATATTACCTTGATATTGAGGTTATATTACGTGCTTCTTGGGTAAATTAAGTGCGTTTCAGTTATGCGAAAATGTGTATAGAATTAAGAAACAGTGACTTTAGGATTAAGAAGTAATAGAAATAACAGTATAGAATGTGTAAAATAATTATGAGTAGAATAATAAATTTTTTTTTGCAGAAAAAACGATTTAGTGGCTCCATCTATGATGCCACAAATTAACTACATTAGTAGTTCTCTTTTTCAAGTGGAGGTGCAGCCCTAGGTCAACCCAGTCTTTCAACTGCGCAAGTTGTTTTGCGCAACATTTTACAGAACTCCTGTTAGAAAATGTACGACGGGTTACAGAAGAATTTAAATTTACATTATTCTTGAATTTGGCAGAAGTTTCCTTTACATTTTCGTGAAACCATTCTTTATTCATTGTGAATGACACTGTTTTAATTTATACTAACTTCTTCTCCATATCCGCCAATCCGCAACTAGTTATGTAAAATATACTGAATTTATTTTTTCCGTGTAGCTTCAACTTACCTGAACTCCTTGAAAACCTATCAATAACATTGTTATGCCCAGGATGAAACAGAATAAATTAGAAAAACAGACCTCGATGTTTTCTGAAAAACTTTAAAAAATATTATGTTAGCTTAAAATCTTTATCTGGAAAGTGTTTTTTTATTTACAAACTATTAAAATTAAAACAAAAAATTTGTCCATAAAGTACCTTACTTTGTCTATTTTAATTAAATTTTATACATCTCTGGTAATTATTATTTACCAAAGCAATCATAATCTAAAGTTCATAGTCAATGATATAAGATTTTAATGCCTTATTTTAATAGCTTGCAAAAGAGTAATTCTTCTACTGGGCATGTATTAACACTAAAATACTAACTTAAGAATATCATTATGTAGCTGAATACACTTAATCATTCTTTCGTATATCTTGCTGTCCTTAATTGGATCACTTTTACTAACATGGTAGTTTTCGTCAACAACATGATTTAATCTGTATCTGAAAAGATGTATTTTATTTTAACTTAAAATAATGTAAAACTTTTTTTAACATAGTTTTTTAGCCCGAATTAACAATTCACCGCGTTTAGAGAAATGTTACATGACACATCGAATGAAACTACAGATAACTGGTATTTAGTATTTGATATATTTTTATTTAGAATACCTGATGAGAATGTAAGCTTGCAAAATATTTGCAGCAATCTTGTGTCAAGTGGCAAAATGTACGATTGGTGCCAGCTTACTCAACAAACTTGATGCAAGTATACAGTTTAAATTTTTTACCTCCCAGGTGTAATCTTCCGTACAAAGTAAAAAAGTATATAATAGTTAACAATAAAAACATTGTTGTTTACGGCCTTTTTACTTTGGAGTTCTCACTTGCAGTAATGGACACTACATATTCAAAAATAATTCGTATTCTAAAGAACAAAATTAAATTTTACTTAATTAAAAATTATACTTGTGTAGCAAGCTTACTTTACTATCTTGCATCAAGCTTGCAATGCAAATCTACAATAATAGTACTTCTTGTTCCTTGCCACAGACTTACATGTATGTTGCAAGCTTATGTCCTGATTGGGTAGATATGATGAATAGTTTCTTGGAATTATAAATTTGTGTTTGAACGCTTTCTCAATTTCAACTAAAAGTGTGTCAGTGTGATATTAATCAAATAGAAAAACTATGCTTACCATAAAACTTCAAACATTCCACAAGCATGTGTTACGCTTACAAAGAAGATAAAATCTATTGCTGCTATATTCAACAATGTGATATATGCAGCAAAAATTGAATGGAGATAAATATAATAATAGTTACTCTCATTGTCAATCAAGACGTAGTCAAGATGAAAAACATACATTTTTGGTCTTGATTCATTTAGTGGCAAAACAACGTCCAAGATGTTTGGTAATAGTGGTGTCATCATATAAATTGTTACCGTTATAAAACCGTAAACTGAAAATAATAACATAGGACTATAATAGTACAACCTTTCTATGATTCGCAAAATTATGTGAAATGGTGATTAACCACTTCTCTGGGAAGAACGGCAATTTGCGATCCAGGTTGTTTTTACAGCACTGGCGAAAATACTACAAATGTCTTTCCTACTTTTACATAATTTTTTTATTTTATAATTATATTTTCTACACTATAACATATTACCTACACACTTAAAAAACTAAGTAAAAGTTGGAACGCTATTTTGCGTTCCTTGCTAATTCTGAACAGCAACGTGGAACGCCAATTGGCGTCCTTGCCAGCACAGTGATTAAACTTTGCGTTCAATAATTGCTCAAATATTTAAGTAATTTAGAATGCTTTCAAAAAGTGACAATTTTTGGTGTTTGAGGGTGCAAATAAAATAATGTAGGATTAATTAAATATATTGTTTATTGATAAAGAGTTGAAAGCTAAGGTTGTGCTCTGCTAGGCAGTAGCTGCTTCACTCCCATGAGGAGAAGTGGTATACCCCCACTCTACCTGCTGTGCCTATGCTCGGTGCTTGAGTGAACAAGGCACCTCGGGGGGACGGAGTGGGGTCTTCGGACATAATGACACTTTTATTTTTTATGGCTCTAGTGAGTTTTTCCAAAAAATTATAAAATTTTTAATTATACACATTTAAAATTTTTTTTAAACATATTCACATTCTTCAGAATTTCACTATTAAGGCACTCTCACACCTTTTTGGCTGCCTGCAGGTTACCATGACAACGGATAAGAGTGAGTGCGACAGAAAATTTAAAAATTTGAATATTCAAAATTTCTGTCTCACTCACACTCGTGCGTTGCCATGGTAACCTGCAGGCAGGCAGCCAAAAAGGTGTGAGAGTGCCTTTACAAGCATATCTCTATCCATTTACAAATGGTAATATTTAAATTTTTTATAATTTTTGATGAATTTATTTATAATTTGTACATGTATGTATAATGTATTTCACGCCAAATCAGATACCCATTTTGCATTTCCGATTTTTTTTAAACTTATTTTTATTTTAGTACTGTTGGAGAAAGCTTTCATCTTTTTAAAAAATTTTGTTAGCAAGCTACTATATCATTTTTACTACTATATCCTACTATATTATATTATTATATACTACTATATACTTTACTATATCATTAAAATTCAGAATTTTTGAAAATCTCGTATCTCGTAATTGGCATGTTAAAAAATTGAAATGAATCATAAAAGCTAGTCGTATCTCAATCAGTACTAAAGAAAAATTAAGTTTCAAAAAAATCGGAAGTCATCATATATATATTAACTTTTTCTATGTTTTTATTTTAAAGCACACTTTTCCCTTCACACTTTCTCCAGGCTTAGGATTCAAGAATGAACAAAAAAAAATCTTGGGGGTAGGGGGTTGAAAACCTGATTTTACGCACGCAAGTCGAGAACCCTAACCGATCTACTACCACGAACACGTATAAGAGAATAAAATTTTCTCTCTCTCATGCTCTTATGTTTCGATTGCATAAGATTTTCTTGTGTAATATTAAGTTAACATAAAAAAATATAATGCAAAGAAAAAAATTAATCAATAAAATTTTTTAATTTTTTCCTTTTGTGATTTTAAGCACAAGTCTTTTGTAAGATTGCAGGAAGCATATTCTAAGCTTGTGTTTACCACATATGAACCTTTTTATTGCAAGCTTACATTAAGCTTTTATTGAAACTTTACATTAAGCTTTTATTGAAAGCTTATAAAAATCTTTCATTGGAAACTTGCAACAATCTTTCATTGCAAGATTGCAGCAAAATTTCTTTGAAAGTTTGCTAAGGTGGGACAATTTGTTACTTGAGGCAGTCATGCTGAAAGCTTACCGCGGAAGCTTGGGAACCTGGTATATTTATAGTGCTTCAAGGTTGTTGCAAGTTTTTGTGCTGTCTGGGAGGTGAACTCAATAGTTCCGCCATGAAGGTACTATCTTAATTTGTCTATCCTTCTCTAACTCATTCTTCCGGTTGCGTTTGCGATTACGGTTACGATTCTATTATGCTCAGGCCTTAAGCGTATCACGTATAACACCTAACCTTACAAGCTATACGTTTAACCCATATCATAATCTCACAGCAGAGTATTGTGCCATGTGGCTAATTGCGCCAGTATTTACGGTCATTTAATTCTATGGCTGTATTTATAGTCACATTTAGGGTCGTGTCGTAATTATGACTATAATTATTGTCGTTTTTGCATCAAGGAAATTTGTAAATTTTTTTAAATGCATTTTGTAGGTCAGATAACGATTTGCACGCGAATTATACCCGTATACCTGTGCGGCGACGAAATTCCGCCTGGCCCATTCTCCCGCTCTGTGACCTACCCCTCCGTGCGTAATGCTGTCAAATTTCCATACGTCTGTCACTCTATACTCGGATGTCCTTTGCGTAAGTTTCAGCGCAGCGTTGTTATAGAAGTTTTATCAAATATGGCCAATTTAGGTGAGACACATATTTCTGAGGTGAAAAGTCAGAGGTGTAACATTTTACTGATGGTAAATGGTATTAAATTTGTAAAACAAAAAATTGTAGCATCTGGGGAATAGCAGGGGTGGTGCAAAGCTTTTAAATGCAATGCATTTGTTACAACTACAGGAATGTCTCCTCATATTTAAACTTTTGAATCTTTGCTTCATAATCATAGGAATCTTGTTGGTGTTGGTGATAATAATAATAATGGTAATGTTGAAATTAATCCGGTTAATGATATTGGTGTGGGCAGAAATGAAGCAGAAGAAATTGTTTGAAAGGAGATGAATAGTACGCGTGGAAAATTATAATCGAAATAGGCAGTTTTAGATTTAATTTTGATAAAAATTTAGTTTCTGGGGACATTCGATGGAGATGTGTGACAAGGACTTGCTCCGAAAATTTGCGTACTGCAAAAGAATCTCCATTGAAAATAATGTCTTTTTTAAATCATAACCATGTTGATTTAAGTGAAAATGATATTCAAAGAAAAATTATATCTGGAAATGCTTAACGAAAAGCTATAAGTATGAGGCACTCTAAAATTATACACTCATGCATTAAAATCGAAAAAACAAATTAGAAGTTCGTAATATTAAAAAAATTATGTATGACGCAAGACATAAGACTATGCCTACTTTTGAAACTAACATTTGTGAAACGCATAAAATAATAGCAGACATGGAGCCAAAAACAAAATTTAATGAGAAATTTATTCGAATCAACGATTCTTCTTCAAATGTTGTTATTTTGTCAACTGACAGAAATTTAAGATTACTTTCTTAAACAATAGAAGTTTATATTGACGGCACATTTGATTCTTCGCCAAAAATTTTTCACTTTACATGGATTTTTTAATGAAAAATACATTGTGTTTTTGTAGAAACACTACAGCTTTTTGTCTACTTACAGATAAGAAATCTTTAACTGATGAAAAATGTTTACACGAACTTAAAAATTGTTGTTTGATAAAAGGATATGTTTTGAATCCTAAAAAATTTATTGTAGACTTTGAAGTTGCAATCCACAATGCAATTTGCAAAATTTGGCCTATAGCAACACTTATTGTATGTCATTTTCACTTCCCAAGGAGCTCATAATATTACCTTAATATCAGAGTAATATTACATAAATAGTAATAATAATTCATAATATTACGGTGTAATATTACAGGAATGTTACAATAAAAATAAAACGTCCGCCTAATAATAATATCACAGGTAATATTGAGGTAATATTACAAGTAATATTGGGGTAATATTAAAATAATATTTAGATAATATATTACATGACTTTACATTTAAAGAAAAAATTTGTACATAACGGGAATCCGCGTTGTAATTCAAAAACTATTCTATCAAATTCAATAATAATTGATTTTTAGACATTCACCAACAATGACAACGTTTTAGAAAAGTGTGGATTAAATTTTATAACTTTAAATTTTTTGTTCGGACATTTCAGGAATTTTGCCTCATATACCATATCGTGTACCTGAAAATTTTGTTCGTTCACGCTACGATCGTGATAATGTTTGGAACGATTTTTAGCCCTGGCTGTTTCCGAATTAGGATTTCTAGCACATTTTTGATAAAGTGTATACTCGGGAAGTATGCAGTGTCCTTTTTTTCACACGGAAAAACAAGGACACTGCATACTCCACGAGTATTTTTTATCAAAAATGTGCTATAAATCCCAATTCGGAAATGGACCGAAATTGCTCGCACTTCGTCAAGGTGACTGACTGTAGGATCCAGACGTTTGTATCTCATCGCCGGTAGGAAGGGGACTCGGAAAACGCACTTCCCTTCCAAAAACTGGCTCATATGAAGTGGAAGACGTAGCTTCATAAACGGTGGTATTGTACGAAAACATACAAAAGGGAACAAGAGTATCTCATTCCTGATTCTCGTAATGTTTGAGATAATCTGCAAGTACTTGATGGTTCCGTTCTAGTGAGCCGTTGCCTTGTGAGTGGTACCCTAAGGTCATATCTAATTTTATTTTAAATATATCGGAAAGTTGATAAAAAATTTGATTATTGTATATTATTGTATTGACCTTACACCTAGAATCGACTTTGACGTCACAAGTGACACAGCCTAATTCCATATCAGTGTGAAACAAATTATATTAGTCAAACTATATATATGATGGACAGAATTAATCAACATAAAAGAGACTGTAGACTTTACAGTAGGAATACTGCATTTGTCAATCATGCACGTCAGTATACATACGTACGATAATGTGAATTTCTACTATAAACTTTAAAATTAACAGTTACTATTTCTCATTGTGGCCATACGAGTTTAGTGGTGAAAAGGTAATGTCTCTTTTAAAGTTTTCTTAAATCTAAAATTCCCTGTCAAGATTAGAAAACATAATTACCGATGTATTATCGTTTTCAGTAGACCCAACTGTGTGTGTATACGAAATCTCAATCAAAT